GTGGTCGGAAAATCGAAAAATTAAAAATGTGACTACCGGATGTTTTTCTATAACGGCATACGAATAAAAAACCTCTTAGACGTTTTTCGATATTTTGACATTTTTTCCCAGACCCAAAAGCCAAGGTGGTCCGTGAAAAGTGGTCGGAAAATCGAAAAATTAAAAATGTGACTACCGGATGTTTTTCTAATACAGTATACGAATAAAAAACCTCTTAGACGTTTTTCGATATTTTGACATTTTTTCCCAGACCCAAAAGCCAAGGTGGTCCGTGAAAAGTGGTCGGAAAATCGAAAAATTAAAAATGTGACTACCGGATGTTTTTCTATAACGGCATACGAATAAAAAACCTCTTAGACGTTTTTCGATATTTTGACATTTTTTCCCAGACCCAAAAGCCAAGGTGGTCCGTGAAAAGTGGTCGGAAAATCGAAAAATTAAAAATGTGACTACCGGATGTTTTTCTATAACGGCATACGAATAAAAAACCTCTTAGACGTTTTTCGATATTTTGACATTTTTTCCCAGACCCAAAAGCCAAGGTGGTCCGTGAAAAGTGGTCGGAAAATCGAAAAATTAAAAATGTGACTACCGGATGTTTTTCTAATACAGTATACGAATAAAAAACCTCTTAGACGTTTTTCGATATTTTGACATTTTTTCCCAGACCCAAAAGCCAAGGTGGTCCGTGAAAAGTGGTCGGAAAATCGAAAAATTAAAAATGTGACTACCGGATGTTTTTCTATAACGGCATACGAATAAAAAACCTCTTAGACGTTTTTCGATATTTTGACATTTTTTCCCAGACCCAAAAGCCAAGGTGGTCCGTGAAAAGTGGTCGGAAAATCGAAAAATTAAAAATGTGACTACCGGATGTTTTTCTAATACAGTATACGAATAAAAAACCTCTTAGACGTTTTTCGATATTTTGACATTTTTTCCCAGACCCAAAAGCCAAGGTGGTCCGTGAAAAGTGGTCGGAAAATCGAAAAATTAAAAATCCGAAAGCCTAGGTGGTCGTAATAGTTTACACTTTTGAAATATTATTTTGGACTTAATTACTTTGGAAAATGAACGAGTGAATAAATTGATTATTTTGAACTTAGAATACTTTTGTGATTATTACCATTATTACGTAGTATAAATTTTTATTGTGGTACATAAAATTATTATTATGGCAACACTGCAGAGTATTGCTGTAGTGATAATATTATAGATGTGATATGGACTTAGAAATATTTTCGCGTTTTTTTTCCCAGACCCAAAAGCCAGAGTTCAACCCTTGTTTGAATTGTCAATATTCATAGCTATACAATTTGAAAATGTCAGTTTTTGAACTAGGTACATACTATATTTTTTTTTTTTTTTATTTATCAATAAAAATTTACAATTTACAATACACAATTTGAAATTTACAATACTTGATTATCTATCTCTTTTAAGCATAGCTTGAGTGAGATAGAGAGTGTAACAATGCTATTCTAAAAAGGATCAAAAATAATAATAATATACAATTATATAAATAAATAAAATGTGTACAGTTTAGTTAGTTATTTAAATAAAACAATTTTAAATTAAAATTATAGAAAAATCAAAAATTACAATAGAAAATAATAGACTTAGATTTAAACATATTAAAAATTTAGAATTAAGATTCATAATAAGATAATACAAAAAATAACAAAATATTATTCAGACATTTTCAAGTTAAATTACTTGAAAGTAACTATCTATTAATATAAGTATTCAAAATACAATAATAATTAAACTAACTCTAAGAATAAATACTTATAAACACATTGTTTAACACTACTTTGATGCTGATGGATGTTCTTGTATACTCATATGGCATTAAGTTGAAGTAAAAAAATAAAAAAAACAGACAAATAGTCCACAAATGATTGACCGAAAGATTTTTTAAGATATTTGACGGGAATATTATAAACCATATTTTCTCTTTTATTTTCAGAAAAAGTGTTATTTTTCCCCTTTATTAATTGTTTGAAAATAAACATGATTACTGTTGCATATTCAGCATTTACATTGTATACTAAACGTTTATATTAATAATAATAATCATAAGTATCATATTACGATCGGTGGGGATTGTCCATCGGTCATTAGCAAGTAGACAATTTTATATGTATGTCAGTTCGTTTTATACTTTTCACAATAAAAGACTATAATATACGTTTGTGTTATTTTATTCATATTAACAATACACAACAATTACTATTTTTTTATAGAGGAATTTTACTGGTACCAAATTGATAATTAAAATGTCTATTAAACCAAACAATGTTAATATATTGACATATTGTTTAGATTTTTTTTTTAAAATATTAACTAGGTCCTTATGAGAGTTCTTGTTTGAATTGTCAATATTCATAGCTATACAATTTGAAAATGTCAGTTTTTGAACTAGGTACATACTATATTATATGATAATATTATGAGTGTTTGTAGTTTTGATGAATTTTGTCAAAAATTTAACTTTACATAATAATTATGCTTATAAAAAAAAACATAGGTACCTATAAATCTTTGATACATCATAGGTAGATATAATTGCATAGGTGCATCAATTCCACAATTTATTTTTATTTTTTAAATATTTTTCCTTAAATAAATAAAAAAATTCATATTTTTTCCTTAATTTTTTTTTGTTTGTACAAACGCCGGAATAAGTTTTAAAAATGTATGCGTCAAGTTAGACTACCATTGGGAACAAATTAACATAAAAGGCCAATCATTAGTTGTGTTAAGACCAATATTTATATTATTTTATAATATATCTTTATTTTAATATAATATTTCATACTAAATTCAATAAAGTTTAATACTTAATAAAACTTATTTATTATGAACATATATGAATATATTTTTATGTTTTACCAAATCCTAAGGAAGTTGGTAATATATTCACTACATAATGGACAACGTTTAGGATTTAAAAGGTTTAAACAATCAAAACATAAAATTCTATGTCCGCAAGGAAATAAAGCATGTGTCCTTTCAGCGTCTGTGCATATTATACACTTAGAATCCTGATCATTTAAGGAAGGAAGGATACTCGGGACTCGAAAATATTGAATATTTTCCAATTCTAACTGCCTATTTCTAGCTTCAGGTTCCATCATAAACACCATATCTGGATCTGTGTCTTCCGGAATTATGAAATCTTCCTCATTATCTGAAAAATAAAATAAAATGTATGAATAAACAACTACATTTTCTTTAAAACATAATATGAATTATAAATATTTTAAGAATAGGTTAGATAAAACAAATATTGATAAATATATATATAAATAGATCATAATAATACTATTTAAGATATATTGGTTCAAAGATTTATTATTTGTATTACAATATAAATAGTATGATGTGGCAAAAGCTTAGAAACATTTGAACCCCCAGTTGGTTATAATTATGGAGATATTAAGATTATTGTAAGATGAATTAGACAGGTTATAACATTGATTTAGGTAAGTAAATATGTAGGTAATTGGTAAATAATATGACATGATCCTCGCCATCAACAACATCTGTAGATTTAGTTCCTCATTGGACTCGTTAAGAACTTTTTATTCATAAATTAAATAAGAGAAATTTGTATTTAAAAAAAAATAGTCGATCAATTACAATCTAACCAGAAATATTATTATAACGTTAATATCAATCATTATTACATCAATTAAAACTACTAAGTGAATATAGAGTATTTAAAAACATTTATGTTAACAGTTATATTTTTAATGTCATTCGATTCAATCAAATTAATAGTAAGTTATTAATAATATTAGATTTACCATCTAGTTCTGCTCCTGCTGCTTCATCCATCCCTTCAATTGATCTATGAAGTAATTCTAAATAAAACAATTAAATTAATAATGACAAACAATAAATATTTTTATTTTATTTTCTCACCAAAGTTATCACGAGGCTCTTCCTCTCTTTCGTCTTCATTCAAGTCATCTAAAATCAAATAATAATTACTAGTTAATACAAAATGTTATATATTATATTAAACATAGTGTAGAAACGATATACTATAACGACTATAATAATGGATACATTTGATGAAAGCAAATTTTTATTTCAATAAAAATTGGTTAATATACTATGTTTTAACCAACAATATTTATAGTATCATGCTATGGCTCTACTAATTGGTCGACATCATAATATTACTAAGTGAATATAGAGTATTTAAAAACATTTATGTTAACAGTAATATTTTTAATGTCATTCAATTCAATCAAATTAATAGTAAGTTATTAATAATATTAGCCTTACCATCTAGTCCTGCTCCTGCTGCTTCATCCATCCCTTCAATTGATCTATGAAGTAATTCTAAATAAAACAATTAAATTAATAATGACAAACAATAAATATTTTTATTTTATTTTCTCACCAAAGTTATCACTAGGCTTTTCCTCTCTTTCTTCTTCATTCAAGTCATCTAAAATCAAACAATAATTACTAGTTAGTACAAAAGTTGAAAATGACCATTCTAGAGTTAAATTAATTTTGAATTTACCATAATATATTTACCTATAATGTTGAATTGTTCTTCTTGCAGTGGGTCTTCGCCGCCCTCATTTTCATACAGGTCATTTATTGCCAACGCACGCATTTGTTCATCATACAATGCAACGCTGTAAGAACAGCGCAAGAGAAAAGTTTTTATGTTTATAGTTCCTTGACGTAGTTGGTGGCTTGCTGTTTTAATTTGTCTATCATTGGGTAAATATTTTGACCTAGGGCCCCGTGATATCATCAATCCATTATTTATTTGGTCAAGCTTGACTGAATATGTATAATTTATTTTTCATATATAAGCTGAAACAAAACAATTTTTAAAAAATACTTACTGACCAAATAATACTCATTATTCATTGTAGTTTACTTTACCTAAGAATGACCAAATATTTGGGTGGGAAACTTGAAATATTTGCCTTAGTTTACTGTGAAACCCTTCAATGTTGTTGTTTGTTCTAATTTTTTTTTTTGTAGACCGAAAGTAACTCAACGCCTACATTTCGTATCCAGTATCTGCTCAAAAATTAATTTGAATAATACAACAATATAATTTAAATTTAATTGTAAACATACCTTTCATAATAGTTGAATAGTCCTCGCATGTTAATATTATGTCTAGCTACATAACGCTTAATCACAACAAAGCCTTCTTCAATTTTCCCAGCTGGTAATACTGGAAGAACCATAATCATCTTCAAAGTTTTTAATGCGAATCCATTGGTATTTATATGATTTAAATAACCTAATTTTCGCATTTTTCGCCACACAGCCTAAAATTTAAATTATTTTTAATTGTAATTTACATAGCATCAGTATAAAAGTATAAATATCACGAGTATCACTACATACTTGATTACTATGAAACCAGCATCCATGAGCTGTGGCTGATGGAAAATGCCTTATCAACATTTCCCTTAACGCAGTTTCAAAGTCTGTTAAAATTACACTTGGCCTAAACTCAGCCAGTAAATTAACTTTAGCAAAGTGTAAAACGGCATCATAAGCCTGGGACGTCTTGCGTTCCATCAGAACATATACAATAGGAATACTCTAAAATATAAAAAGTGAAAAATTATAATATTGATAACTTAAAAAAAATCTTAAAGAATTTAACTTAATAATGGTATAATACTAAAATCTTATTTGAAGGGTTTGGTGCAAAAACATTAAAAAATAAACCCGTCAGTAACTTATCTGCCGCAGCTGGATGCTGTGTCACATTATTTCTATTATTTTGTGTTAATTTTTTGGATTATTATAGATAATACAATTGTTATAATTTGTTTCAGTTTCATTTCAGAACTGTAAGGAAGTAACTTTATTTTTAACTGTGGCAAAATAACAATACATAAATATCAAATATTAAATGAGTCTAAATAGTATAAATATTTAAAAAAAAAAAATTAAATTTGAATAATAGTATAATTTATATAATAATATATTGCATACAAAAAAAATGATAACTACATAGGACAATCTTCATCCTCGTAAATGGTATTAAACATAGTCACTTCATTAATACTGCGTTGTTTCAGAATTTTCTTAAATGTATTCATGGCTATAACACTTGGGTCAGGTCTATGAACATGGTCTTGTAGCAAATGAATATCATTGTCACCTATGATTTTCATTGAACCATGGCATAAGTATTTTGCTGCTTCTTTGCATTTGTAATAACTGTAATAGGTAGTAAATAAAACACGCCTATTAATAATTCTATAAACTATTATAGCCTAGAAGAACACGTTCTCTCTCATGTTATGGTATAAGCATCATTAATATTAATTATTAATTATTTTGTAATATGAAGAAATGACCTTAATTGGTTGGAGTAGACTGGTCCTCCAGGTTGGGGGTTTAGCGCAGGGCTAACAACCCTGCCTTAGAAAAAAAATATTGTTCAGGAACTAACAACAAACTTGCCTCGGAACTGTGGAGCTTTGGAAAATAAGAATGGAAAATGGAAAAATGGATTATCTTTTGGAACATGGAACGTTCGCACACTTTTTAAACCTGGAGCTGTACAATGCTTAGTTGAGGAGATAGAAAAATATAAACTAGGAGTGGTAGCCCTACAAGAGATAAGGTGGGATGGTAATGGAACGATAGAGATTCAGGATACAACGATTTTCTACGGCGAATGTAATAAACATCGTAAATTTGGAACGGGCTTCGCAATACATAAAAACTTAGTACCTTCAGTAAGAGAATTCAAAAGCATTAATCCAAGAATATCAGTATTAACGATAGAAGCACTATATTTCAACATCTCATTCGTGAATGTGTCGCGGTCGTTATCGCAACGGCCGCGGTGTCTCTATCGGCGTCCGCGAGATCGCGACCGACAACCGGTCTGGCCGCCGCCTGCGCACGGCCGCCGGCCCGGCCAGCGGCGGTGGCGACGGTGGCAGCTTTCGCCGGACCGTTGACAACGCCGCACACGTCGAAATAGTAAATCCGCGATAATTATATAGTGTCTATATATTGTTATACTGTACATAATAAACGGGTTGTCGTTGCCAAAAGTGTCTACATTCTTTCTAAACCGTCTATATACCTACATTGGCGCAGTCGGAACAGGAGTAAGGTAAGTGCTAATTTTAATAAAAAATAATTTTACGTAAATTAAAGTAAATTAGCACATATCGGGTTAAAAGAACCTACAATAAGTGTCCTGGTCATACCGGTTATTAATATTTTTTTTTTATTCTGATTTTTTATTATAAATAAAATATTAAGGGCTTGTCCAATCTAAGGTGGTAAATTGTAGCAAAATTTGCATAATTTAGCGTAATTCCTACAGTGCTAAACTTGGTTTAGGCTATTAATAGATTGGAAAGTACATATCTCTACCAGCGATAGCCCGAGTTACGTAATCTCATATCTAACGTACTTTAATTAGGTAGATAATAGCAGTTAAATTTAATAATCACAATGAGTACGAAATACATTGGTGAATTAACTATTGCTGAGATTAACCGGGAGTTACATAAGCGTGGTATTGAGACCGGGGGGTCCAAGGCTGATAAACTCTTAGCATTAGAAGAGTATATTAGGGCTAAGGAAAATTTGTATCCAGGATCAGTACGGTTTGGGGACACTAACGAGACGTCAGCCCAGGTACCGGAAGGGAAAACATCGGTGGCTCAAACTGAGGAGGATGAGGTCGACTCTGAAAAAAGTTTGATAAACCAGTTTATGGAGCAGATGTTAGATAGGCTGGAGGGGTTGGAAACAACGGTCGACAAGCAGCAACTGACAATCGCTACTCTCAGCGAGAGCGTGGAACGCTTGGAGCGGGAGTTAGCCGAAGAAAAGCTCAAGTCGACCGAACGGGTGGAGCAAGCAAGTTGCTCATGCCGTGGAAATTCCCAACAACCATCAACCAGCGACTTATCCGGGGCAAATCAGAGTTGCTTTTGACGAAAGTCAAAATCGTCCGGTCAAAACTCAAAAAATGAGTTTTGAGAGCCGATGGGCGAACATACGGAGCAGATTGACCGGGGAAAACCCGAGAAATCCCGGAGTGTCCGGTGAAATGTCCGGAGTCTTCGGTAATCTGTCCGGAGTGTCCGGTGAAGTTTCCGGCAGAAGTCACGAGGAAGCGTTACGGAGTAGTTTTTCCGGTGTAAAACGCGTGCATTTCCCGGATAGCCTGCTCATTCCTCAAAATGAGTTGAATATGGCCCGTGCGTCGATACCAGAGTTTGCCGGTAAGAGGGAGGAAGACCCAGTGCGGTTTTTGCTCCAGGCCGAGGCAATACTTGAAGAAACTGGTATCCACAAGGCTAGATGGGTGACCGTTTTGGCTCCTCAGCTGAAGGCTCAGGCAGGAACATGGTGGGGAACCATGAGAGCGTTGGACTTACCATGGCAAGAGTTCAGGTCCGAACTATTGGAGAAGTTCAACGGGGACGAGTTGCAGTCGAGTCTGCAATCAGAAATGTTGAGCACCGCTCAGACCAAGACCGAAACACTGGGGGAGTACGTCCTACACAAGTACCAGTTGTATCGGCGGTTAAACCTTGGTCTGACAGAAGAGGCGGTGGTAATGACAGTGATTGGACTCATGCGTGATGAGTTTAGAATTCATGCACGTATACAGCGACTGAAATAGTTCAGCGAATTACGAGCGCTTGCCCATGTTCTGGATGGTAGCAAGGCCGTAATTACGGATAAGGCGGGAGTGAGCACCAGCGTACCACCAAAGTCAAAATGGTTGGATAGACGAAAAGCTGAGAGTGCAGAGAAATCCCAAGTGCCAAATCCGAAGCAACGACTATCTTCGGGAGCAGGATGCAGAGTATGTGGTATTCATGACCACTGGCAAGCTGCATGTCCGAAAAGAAATTCGGAGTCGGGAAACGCTAAAACGACCGGCGGGACCGCCGGGTCCCGACCGGCCAGGAAGTAACCGGCGAAAAAGTCACGAGTCGTCCGAAGAGTGGTAAGCAACGAAGTTCAACTCGGGCAGTGAGTAACGTTCCGGAGCAGGAACCACAAATTACAAGAACTGACCCGAAGAAACGGAACTTCGGAGCGTTACGGACCGGAGACTCGGGAAAGGGCCCGAGGAAATCGGACCAAAAGAGTTCTGAACCGGTAAAATCTGGTAAGAACGTAATTCCTCCGGAGGAAAACTTTGGTCACCCGAAGGAAACCTCCGGAGTGAGGAGTTGTCCGGTGAAAACCGTCGAGCCTCCGGAGAGACGCCGGAGAAATCGCCGAGGCCACCCGAGAAAACCCATTGAAAACGACGTTCCGGTAAAGGAACCACAGTTCGTGACAATGGACCGGGTAAATGGTTCAGTGATGGAAACGGGTTTCGACCAGCGGGACAACAGGTCGGGAAAATCGTTTAGGATTGAAAGTGTTCCGGACAAAAGTGAAAATCTCACCGAGGTGAGGGATCTTTCCAATAAAAATGTCGCGGACAGCATTTCAAGTGATGCGGAACAAGATGAGTTAACACAGGAGTTGTTAATTTGTCCGGTCACAGCCGAAGATTTTTCCGAGGAGTTTATTCCTTATCCACGGGAAAAGTGCAAGAGGAGAAACTCAGATACGGACTCAAAGTTCGAGTTGAGAGAACGCTTTTGGGGTCTACGGACCGGAGTGTTAGAGTCTCCAGCCATTGCAACGGTGTCAACGGGGAAAACTACAGTAACGGATGTTCCGTTATCGGCCATAGAACTAGAGTTTGCACTCGGGGCAGTAGTAGCGCTACTGGACTCCCAAGCGGCGAGGACATACGTCAAACCGTGGGTGGCAAAGAAGTTTGGCCGGAGTTTTACCGAAGAACCGGAGATTGTCCGGATGGCGGACGGTCGGACCCGACAAATTACGGAGTTTTCCGAATTTCGGGCCCGGATAGTGGATCTGGAGGTAAGCTTCAGGGCAGCAGTGTTAGACGATCTCATTGGAGATGTCTTCCTGGGCCATGATTTCCTCGTGGAGCAACAAGTCGCTTGGGACTATAGCGGTTGCATAATCCACCTGGGGAAAGAAAGACGTGTTTCCGTGAGTTGGAGAAATCCAGTAACTCCGGTCACCGTAGGAGTGGACTTAACAACCGCAGGATTACCCGAAGGAGAGTACGGTATGCGGGTCAAAAAAGTCCTTTGCCAATATCCGGAGGTTTTCTCCGGAGAGGTAGGCAGAACTCGGGTGATAGAGCACCAGATCTGTCTCAAGGATCCAAATCCGGTGGCTCTAAACGCTTACGGGTACTCCCGAGAGAAAAACGAGGTTATTGCCGAAATGGTGCGAGACATGGAGGAACAGGGTTTTGTTGAACCTAGCATATCTCCATGGGCTGCACCGGTGGTACTCGTGAAGAAAAAGGATGGCTCACGTAGGTTTTGCGTGGACTATCGCCGTTTGAACATGCAGACGGAGTCGGACGCTCACCCGATGCCGGACCTTCATGACATGGTCCGAGGAATGGGTGGAGCGAAGATTTACAGCACCATGGATTTGAAATCAGGATATTGGCAAGTGGGTCTCTCACCAGAGACACGTCCACT